GGGAGTTACACACCACATAAATATGGAAAAAATCTAGAATAAATCTAAAGCACTCAATCATGGATAATTTTTTTAGCAATTGAGAACATAAATGATATTAGAATTTGGCGAACTTGGGCTTGTTAGATTCATCTTGTCGAGCTACTTGATTTAATTATAAGCATGCCACATTTAGATATCACTTGGCCATCCAATTAATGTCCTAAAAATTTTAATTACTCTTTTAAGGGCCTTTATTTGCACTCAATTGGGCTCAGATTGGACCATTTTTTGTATCATTGAGTTTGTTTCATTGAGATGCTCACTTTGACTATAAGTTTCTTGAAATCAAAGTTTATATACTCCTGAATTTAATTTTTAAAGTTCCCAAGTCAAATGTGCCTCAAGATTTGTGATCGATCGAAGCATTTTTTTTTAACAAAATGCCAATATTGATTTATGTGAGAGGGCATGCATGTGAGAAAAGTTTGATGTGATAGATTTTTCGTTTGAACATGCATTGGCCATAACTCGGAATTAGGGTACTACTACTAAAGCTTATAAAGTTTTATATATTGAATGAATAGTTGGGTGCATATGCTAAAATTATCTATGTAATTGGAAATGAAGACATCTTGGGGGGTTCTAAATGAAATAAAAAAGTGTTGTCCTTCCCCCCCAATTGTGAAGCCAAAGCATGGTCTTCCAAATAAGAACAAAAGTGTTCACAAGGAGAAAATGATGCAATGCAATATTTGTGCAATTGATATAGAATGAAATGCCATAATTGGGTTAATTATAGAGCCAAGTGCCACAATATTCATTGCAATATTTTGTTATCCTTCTTGTCATTATAAGAACAGTATAATTATTTTAATTTAATATGATTCTTCAATTAATTTCGCGATTGACTATATAATGATGCAATGCTAGCTATTTTGATAACATGTTAAAATGTAAATTATAAAAGATCAAATAAATTGATTGGTTGTACTCATTAACCATGTTCTATTCGAATTTTGTTTGAACCAAGTTCAAACTTGTGGTTTGAATAAGAGTCAATCTAGTTTCCAACTCAGTTCAACCTCCAGTTTGATCCAAGTTCAAATTTGGATCAAGCTATGAGTTTGAACTAGGTTTAAACCTTGAGTTGATGAAAAAAAATAGGTTTAAACCTTGAGTTCAAACTAAGTTGAAATGCAGTTCAAACTATATTCAGAGAATTGGATTTGTACTAATATGCGATTATGAATTATTTTGAACCAATTTTATTCACTTTATATTTCAAAGAAGCAGTACATAATAAAAACGAGGGCATTTTGATTCAAAATAAACTTTCACACAGTTTTTTATAAGAAAATAAAACCATAAATATATTTGATCAATTATAAACATTAAAAGATGTAAAAAAATTGTAAAAAATAAAATAGTTCAATATAATTTTTTAACTTTTGTGTTTATTTGATGTTAAAGTTTTGAGTTGTTATTCATTTCTTTGTAAAACATTATAATGTGAATTATCACAGTAGGAAGGGCATCTCAAACTGAACTTCAAACGACTTTAAGGCGTAGCTGGACTGTTTCATTCGAATGACAAAAAAATCGCTAATCGGTGGAGGGTGAATAGTGCGCCGCTGTCTCAACCAAATTTGTCGAAGAAACGCGTGAAAGAGGAGAAAGACGGTTACATTCACATAAACACACAAAATGGAGTTTGATTGTAGATTAATCACTACATTTTTTATTTCACTATATTTTGGGGTGAAAATGAGATTTGGGCAATTTTTAGGACTAAGCATGATTAGAAACATAATTAGGACATTAAGCATCATTATTTTAAAAGTTAGAAGTAGGCATAATTGCCCGTTTAATATGCAATTAGGTGATTAGGCATAATCGCCCGTTTGAAGGGCGATTAATATACCAGGTCAAAATTGCCCGTATATAGTCTATTTAAAAGTCCACCAAAAAATCCCTAGCTCCAGTGGTTATTTGGCTTCTCCAAACCCGTCGCCTTCGGCCGTCGCCTCCCCGCCGGTTATGTTGTTTTAGGTAAGTAAAAATGTATTTTTTAATAGAAATTTATATATTTGTATTGCTTTCCTAATTAGAAGGTAAAATAAGGGGAAAAAAGTAAATGCACCATGTAAAATTGTAGAATAAGGTGATTTTAGGCAATGCCTATTTTATATGTGTTTTTGTACATATCTATGGATAAATTAGGCAAAAAGTGAAGGATTTATGAGTATTATGTATTTTATAGGTTTGTTAATGCTTAATCATGCAAAATGGGGAAATGTTCATGTTCAAGACTTATGTTATTATTTTCAATATCTAATTTAATAGAAAAATTGAACTATATATATATACGTATGATTTCATAATACAAATTATTTCAACTTTAAGATATTATTAACTACAAAAATTTAGAAAAAAGTAATGTTATCATTTCAATAATCGCATTTTTATATTACATTAAAATTCACAACACAAAATATACAAGTAAGAAGAAGTACTATTCATCCAACATATAAATATATATATTTTTTAAATTTAAATGCATAAGGAATCAAATACATAACAAAGAAAAACACTTAGAAATGCTTCCTACTAAACAAGAAAAATAGAGTGATAAAAAATAAAATATTTTTGCGTACATAACATTTATAAGACTACATAACTTTCATATTTCCTAATCAACATATGAAAACGTGACTGTAGTTGTGTCTGAGTTGGACAACATTTCTGCTTGAACTTGAACTCATACTGAAGGTCTTGCTAGTCGTCAACATTGAAGAACTCTCTAAGGTTACCATCAGGTAAGACCTCGTTTATCCGCTCTTTATAGAAATCCATAATAAATTTATCTTTCCGCGGAGACCAATCACTATATAAAATTACATTCTCAATATCAAGATGGCTATAGTCAATATCAGGCGAGGAATGCCCACTATTTCTATGGCGTTTTATCTCATGGTATCGCATCTGTAAGAAATAAGGGCTGACATTATGACCATTAACTTCTCAGAATTTAATTTGAAGAGATTTCCAACTGGCAGCATTTAAGAATTCTCTTGTCTTATAAAGTTTTACCCTAATTAACTCGACGTGCATATCTCATAGGCAATCATCCTCGTCTTTCGACCATTCATGTACACAACACCTAAATATCTCATTCTTATTAGCCTTATACTCTAACAGACTATCACCGGCTTGTGCTATGCAAGTATGCATTCATTGGCTTGCATTATTGAACTTTTCTTTGTTGAGGACGTCTGTAATCTTCTTCATACATGACCAAAACATTTTGAATAACTCAAACAATAACTCAACAACTATATTCATTGTGTCTATCATTCACCATTTATATAGCTGAGATTAATAATATTCAACAAACACTAGCAGTCAAAAAACTCAATAGAACTTGAATTGACCATAAAACTTTACAGCTCATATGATGTGATGTGTCATTGGAAGCTGAATCAATTGTCATTGCAAAATAATTCTGACAATATTAAGATCCTATGTTTTTAAATATATTTTTAAAAAAGAGGGTTCCAATATTCAAAATTAGTACATACAAATATTAAAAAAAAAACACCAGATTTGATTTTTTTTTTTAAATTATCTCTGAAGATGCGCTACAAAAATTATACTGGATTATTTTATCAATGCACAATTTATAATTTCAGAAGAAATTAAATGAAATATTCACTTTACAACTTCTATCATTAATTAGTAATTTTTAATGCATTAATTATTAATTATATCACGTAACCTAAACAATTTAAAACTATTTTTTTTTTTAAATTTTTGGACAAAGATAACTCACACATTTAAATTTTACTTAAAAAAAATCAAGACATGCCAAAACCGCCCGTCAAATGGGTGATTATGACTTAACACATAATCGCCCGTTAAAATGGAGGATTATACCTATTTTTAAAATTTGAAAAAATGATACTTAATAGCCTAATTACTTTTTAATCATTTTTACTCCTAAAAATAGCCCATAAGATTTTCGGTTGGAGATGCCTAAAATTTAAATTATATTAATTAAGTTAATCAATAATAACTTTTAGAGGCGTCTATGGTTTGCCTTTCATCTTCTCTTTTCGTCATTGCTGTTCGGCTTTGTTGCTTTGCAGGTGTATAGATTGCACGCGTCGCTTCTGCGGCTCCTTCGTGGCTGTTCGACTTCGCTCCTGCGACGACTTTCTCGTCAATCTGGATTGGAAGTTACAACATTTTGATCAGAAGCAAGAACGGGAGCTCGCTGGCTGTGAAGGTAACTTTCTCCCTTTTGCGCGCTCTTTGAATAAATCCCGTTAAATCTGACTACCCCTCGAATTTACAAATCCTAAATTTAAATCCGTAAATCGTACGGAATCCCTGGATTTAACGCCTCCACAAACTAGATTTAGCGTAAATCCGACTTAAATCCCGTTGTAAATCCCATACCAAACAGCCATTGGAACTTTTATTACATCCAGTGAACGTACGTTCCTCTACGTTCGGTTTTAGACCAAAACAGCAAAATACCGAGTTTTTTGAAAAAACTCGGTACAACTCGGTACTCAGTATTGCACTGTTTTGATCTAAAATCGAACGTAGAGGAGCGTACGTTCACTGAATAAAATAAAAATTCCCAGGAATATTGATGTCTACTTCTCAGAGTAGGTAACAACTTAGGGTTTAGGTGGTGCCGTGGTGGCATCTTTGCGCTGATTGTACCTAAAGATAAATCTGTGCTGACAAGGTCTTTCTCCTTCCGATGGCACTGATCTCACGGCCGCACTGAAGTGGGACAATCACGGCCGTTATTTTCCAATCCGCTCTACTACGCCGTCTCTGTCAACCACCATATCAATCAGTGCTCAAATTCCATGCCCCTCATCAATCAGTGCTCAAATTCCATGCCTTTGAGGGGACCGTCGCTTTAGTTGCGCTAATTTTAAAATAATATTTTATTATTATCCGAATCTATCTCTGCGTTCGGTCACCTGACCCAATAATTTGCCGTTCATTAGGCTCAATGGGGGCAAAAGCCAGAAGGAAGCCGGGAAGGAGGAAAAGATCGAACATTGTGTATAAACTGAACTCATGGAGGTTGCACGATAGTTAAATTGCGCTCAAGTGGTCTTTGCCAATGGGTTCTTTTTGGTCAACGTGAGTGAAGTTCCCAACTTTACCATCTGGGTACTGGATAGGATTTAGGGTTAAATAAAGCAAGAAAAGCTGAAAAGTTGGTTTAATAGCTTCTTCGAAGTGTAATGAACTTATTCTCCCAGGTCTAGGTGGGAAGTTTGATCTCTTATTTCACTCCACCTTTCCACCCCAAGGTATATTCTCTTGAACTTTATGTTTGCTTTTATTTTGAAGTTGGCATTCGTCGAAGGATCTGATCAAATCAAGTCTCATTCTTATTTATGCAGTAGGGTTTTGGGCATCTTTGATTAAATCAGATATGATTCGGGAAAAGTGCTGCTTTTGATGTGTATCAGTTTTCCCAGTTAAGCTGCTCCACATCATTTCTATGAATACTTTGATGGCGTGTGTAATTTTCTTCAGTTGAACATGAAAGCTTGAAATAGCCGTGTAAATGATGGACAGTCAAAGTAGGACAATTGTTTGGTTCAGGAGGGACCTTAGGATTGAGGATAACCCAGCACTGTTGTCTGCGGCAAGGGATGGGGTTACTCTTCCTGTTTTCATCTGGTGCCCAAGCGAAGAAGGGAAATTCTATCCCGGGCGTTGCTCAAGGTGGTGGCTGAAGCAGTCACTTGCCCACCTTGACCAGTCTTTGAAATCTATTGGGGCGCCTCTTGTGTTTATTAGGGCTGAGAGTACTGTCTCTGCACTTCTTCATTGTGTCAATGCGATTGGAGCCACTAGAGTGGTGTATAATCATCTTTATGGTACTTAATCTGTTTCTCGTCACCCCCTTAATTTTACCGCAAGCCATCAGATTTAGATAGTGCTGTTTCCCTTGTTTTCTACATTTTGTTATATGCTCATTCGATCATCCAATGCCTTGATGCTGTATTTGTTGAGTTTATAAGTAATTTACTGCATTGGCTAGACTGTTATTAATCACCATTCACCTCAATTTTTGAGTATTTAAGATAAGTAAATGATTATCTATAACATGAAAAGATGGGTGAAAGCTTCTTAATGTCATTCTTTCAAGACAAGGGCTCTGAAGTTCCCTTGAGTACTTTATTTCAGTCATTTTAGTATCCATCTTTGCATTATTCTTATGTTCTTGCTAAAATCTTCATTTTTCCTTACCATGCTTGATGAGTAGGTATGACTTCTAATTCTTATGTTCTGTTTCTTATTTAGTTACACGGTTCGTTTGATGTGTGCACATGTGTGTCATTGAGTGCAATGGGTTGAACTTTTTCTTATGATTAGAAAGATCGAGTCCGATGAGGTGCTACTTGCTTTAATGAGGATTAAAAGTGAGAATAATAGTATAGTGAGTGAAGTTAGAACTTAAACAAAGAAATTACAGTAGAAATTATGGAAGAAAATGATTTTATATAATCCTTCAGAGGGTATGAAGGAGGTTTCATTTTTTTTTTGTAGTTATACTTATAGAGAGGGGAACCATCTAGGTGATTTGAGTGAACAACCTTTAATAGTCGGTTTGTAAGATTAGCTGACAAGCGAACAATATCTAATTCTTCATAGTACCATGCGATGTATCATGTAGCATAACCTTTTTATCTTTCATGAAAAGTTTGTATTATAAATAATTATTATCATTTATCATATATTTTCTAGTAATTGGCCTTAAATATGCTTAAGTTTAAGTGAACATGCCATTTTATATTTCATTACTGATTGCAATGATTGCGAGATAATCGCACTGTTTAGTGAAAATTAGATCAAGTAAGAAGATAGGTTGAACACCTCTTGGTAGGTTACCTTGAACTCGGTATGCATTAGTCATTAAGTTGGGGAGTTTCTTAGTAAGTCGGATATTGCCTCCATGAGCAGACATTCAGTTTGAGTGGAATGGCTTATATTGTAGGACAAGTGTCAATACCTTATTGATCCTTTTACGTTGTGATGAATTTGGGGTATACATCATCCTCTTTTTCCCGAAAATTTCTTCAAAAATTAGGATTTACGGACACAAATTCTTCATTACACCTAACAGTAGCTGCGTTGGCTCATCATATTCTCTTCATTCGGTAATAACACCTTGAAAGAACGTCCCATTGATTGCTTTTCTGCAAGTCATATGTGAAGATCTACCATACTCCTTCCCCAACACCCTGATGTAGCTAATGAGCCTCCTCCTACATTAGTCTTATAGCCCCAATGATGGGAAATACTCCTCTTCTCCCTAGTGGGAATGCAAAAATATTAATTGCACTTTTCCCTTAGGATCAAACATTGAGATTATTCTAAAGATGAGGATAATTGCTACAATAACTTCAGTTCTTATACAAGTTGTAGATGATATTTGCTAAAGGTTCAATCATCATTCCTTTGGCCTCTTGTAAGAGGAAAACGCCATCAAAGAAGCTCGTAGAGGATGAGTCTTGATTAAAAGTTGTAAATATTTTTTCGAGCAACACTATTGTGTTGGACTCTTCTGAACATAACACTGGCTAGCGCTCTAGTGAGCTTATCCGGATAGCCATGAATGTAGTGAGATCGGGAAGCTAGTGAGTCTTAGAGTGAATTTCTTGATCTATAAGAACTTTTGTGCTTCTAATATTTAACTACTAGTGATTGAAAATTCTTGATTGCTAAACCAAGATGGATGTATTATTTTTTGAGGGTTAAAATGAAAGATCTTGATGCTCCATTCGTCAAAGTTTTTGTTCAATGCAAATAGGAGACCAAGTGAGATGATTTAATAGGAAATTTTATTTTGATAATTTTAACTTGTGAAACAGCAACTTGAAAAGCTTGAGGATGTTACTTTCATTATAAGAGCAAGGCTATGGAAGGTTGAGGACTTCAAGTATGATATCTAGGAGTGGCTAGGTTGGCAGAACAAATGATTCTAAGATTCTAGAAGGTCAAATAACATAATGCTAGTTATTGCATGTTTACTATAGCCATCTCCTGTTGGCCTCGAGCACACAACTGTCAAGTTTCCTCTAGTTAAACATTTAATGTTACAACTTCTATGCGAGGAATAGAGGAAGGGATTTCTTTGGTCACTTTTTATGGCTATCTTGACATTAATGTCTTCAGAAATTGAAGGCATGTGAATGCTTGCTCTAATGTATCAATGAAATTAGAATCATGGGTATGGATTGGATGATTTAATCAAATTAAACTTTTTTTTTGCCTCCAATTTAACGTTAAATCATATATTGTTAGGAAATATTGTGATAATCGTGAGCGCTCTAGCGAGAGCCGATAGTCTTATTAGGGCAAGATAAGAATTATGCCTTTTCCTTTTTGCCTTGTTGTAATGATTTTGAAGTTTAATTTTTATGCCATGACTAATTTGATTTTAATGTTATTGATGCGGACATCTGTACGAAGATTTGGCGCATCTATCACAAGAGGCGTTATAAATCGATGGCTATTATTTAAATCTTCATTTATGAGTTTTTTTTTTCTTCTGAATTTTAGTTCTTATTTAATGTATTTCCTGTTTTACCCCTAGGTTAGTTTATGTGAGTGTTGTGGCCCAAGGGGCAATTTTGTATTTTGGAGTTTTCTTATGTTGTGGCCTATATATATGGCCTTAAGCTATTATAATAGAGATAGATTATTGATATAAAAAAATTGTGTTCCACACTTGTGTTCTTTGAGAGAGCGTTAGTGAGATTCCTATGGGAAGGAATCGGAGTTTCACTAGCCGCAGGATGGGTCCGGGCTCGTGATTTGAAGTCCCTTGGGGAAGGGCAAAACATCACCCGCCAGTCTTCGGAAGAGTCCAAGACTCGCGGTTTTTATCTTCTATCTTTCGTTTGGTCTTTGTTTTTGTTTCTTCTTATTGCTTCTCGTAGTCATATTCATCTTCTTCTCCTCCCCATCTTCGTTTGGCCGCCAGATTCTAACCTTACCCGAAACCCCACTTTTTTCCCCCGTCCAAAACCCACGGCCAAACCCATGCCCGACCCCATGCCGCCGGCCTCCATTCCCCTAGCCGCCGATCCACTCTCCTCCTCCCCCATCCAAGCTTGTTTCCTATTTTAGATTGAGTTGAATGTGGGTAGATTTGAAATTCAAAATTAGTCATTGAGAATTTCAAAATCTTTCCTTATTTAATAAATCTATTTTAGGAAAGTTTCCATTTTTTATCTAAATTGAATTTGAAATTCAAATTGGACTTGAAATAATTTTCCCAAATCGCTTACCTAAATTAAGGAGTATTAATTATTCTAATTAATCTCCCTATGGTCTATGCTTGCCGCCGGCCCTCTCTCTCTCCATATCCCATTAAATCTCCTTTAATTACTTCCTAAACCCATCCCTCACTTAGGAAATAATTTCAAATCCCCACAAATCCCTCTTGACCGAATTTTCCACTCATCTTGCTTGGATTAATCTGTTTCCAAAAGGGTAATTTCACTTTTGGAAATAGATTGAATTCTTCCCCCTTTTTTTTTTCCTCTTCATTGCCGCCTCCCTCATTAGCTCAAATTTTTCCCTCCATAAATCCCTCTCACCTTTGGCTTAATTTAGGAAATCTTTCCTAACATTAAGCCTCTCTTTTTTTTTTTTGTCTATTCTCCTAGTCACAGCAAATCTTGTTTCTTTTATTATTGGAATTAAATCCCATTCTTCTCTCCCCTTATTTACTCTAGAGAGCTCCCCACGTTAACAGCATGGAGTTGGAATTTATTTTGGGAATTAAAATTCCTCTGCTGGCCGAAATCTTCCAAGGCCATCACGTGGGAATTCCTCCACTAGAAGCTCTCCAAATTTCTTACAATATTGAGCCCTCTTCCTCCCAAAGCTGCAACCCGTGATTTCCCAGCTCTTCTTACTTCAAGTCTTTCTCCTCTAAACACCAAAACTGAAATTTCCCCTAGATTTCTGAGAGAAATCTCTCTCCTGGCAAGAGAAACTCTTCCTTCCCTACCCCTATTTTCTCAAGAGAAAATCTAAGAATTTCCTCTCAGATTTTTGGTGAAACTGAATTGGTTCTCAAAATTCGGAGAGGAGATTTGACCCTAGCAAAGCCCTTTTTCGTTCTACATCAGTTTGGTATCAGAGCATGGACTCGGATCAACTTGGAAGGACTTTAGACTGGGTGGTACGTCAAATGGGCATCATTAGTCAACATCTCAAGGAGAATCAAGCGGACTTAGCCGACGTCCACTGTCAAACAATCAAACGATTCGATAACCTAGAGCGAGATAGGACTAACCCACCGTTTTATACAAAACCCCCTTCATCAAAAGATAGAAAGAAGGCACTAAGAGACAGAGAGATAGTGGATAGAGTGGACAAATGGATGGAGGCCAATGAAGCTTTAAATTTCCCGCTCACTGTGCAAATCAAAGAGAAATCTAAGGTGATCAAGGAAGAACATGAAGAAGAAGATGAATTGGTTGACAAGGAGAAATACGTGACTGGCTGACTGCCAATAATGCCGAGAGAGATTTGATTGATTCAATTACAACTCCTATAGAAGTAAAGGCTTTTTCTAACCCAGTTAAAACTCCTATAACGGAGAATATTGATGAAGCTCTGGAAGTGACATCCATAGAACTCAATATTGCTCCTATTGCTAGTGAAGCCATCTATGAGAGTGAACAAGTTCCTGCAGGCGAAAAGAAGTGCGACAGTTTGGAAGGTGATCCCTTGACTATGGTTAAGGAAATTGGCGAGCTAAAGTGCAACAAGCAAGTTGACCTCGTGGGCAACCGGTGTTGTTTGAAAATATTGGCAAAAAGGCCATTGGGGTTATTGTTTCCAAATAACAGTCCAG